TCACGGCAGCCCAGCTCCAGGTTGAGCTGTTGTTCAGCATCTTAGCTGTGGAGGGCAGTGTCACTGGCCCTCACATGTGGGATCCGAACCGGGGCCTTCTGGCGTCCCAAGCCAGTTCTTAACCAACGTGCCACTCGGCCGGCCCTTTCCCTTCTTTTTAAAGAATGCATTTTTAACTCTTTTTTAGAAACTATTTTTGGATTATTTGTTAAATATTAAGAGGAGAGTGATCTGAATTCTTTCCAAAACTTTCACCAAGAAATGTATTTTTAAATAATTTTAAACATGACCAAATAATTTCAAACTTTTTATCACCTTAAAACCTAAAAAGTAAATATATTTTTAAAATAGGAAATCAAGCTCTTTATAAAATTGCTGGAACCATAAAGTCAATTTAATAAAAGTAATTATTATATTTCAAAATTCTTTACATCGAGAATAAGAATGGATGGCCGGCCGAGTGGCGCGTTCGTTAAGAGTTGTAATAAAAGTAGTTATTATATTTCAAAATTCTTTACATCAAGAATAAGAATGGATGGCCGGCCGAGTGGCGCGTTCGTTAAGAGTTGGCTTGGGACGCCAGCTCTAGGCAGCAGGGCCCCGGTTCGGATCCCACATTAGGGACAGTGACGCTGCGCCCTCTATAGCTAAGATGGTGAACAACAGCTCGACCTGGAGCTGGGCTGCCATCAGTCGCCAGCGACCGTGTAGGCTGCAGACCTTGCTGCAGTGGGCTGCCATAAGCTATTGTGAGTGGCCGGCAGCCAGCGTGAGTGGGCTGCAGCCGGGGTGAGCTGCCAAGAGCCACCGTGAGCTGCCTTCCAAGGGCCAGCAACCGATCTGTCTCACCCAGGAAGAGCGCAATGATAATACCAACATGGGCCAGCGAAGCGACGTCCTCCACAACTAGACTGAAGAACAAAAGGACAGCAACTTGCCTGTTCCCCTCCCCCAATGCCCCAGTTTAAAAAAAAAAAAAAAAAGAGTAAGAATGGAATCAAAGATACCAGCGATGATAAGGACACTAGGAAAAAAATGAGTGCCTACCATGTAAAGGGCCAAATACTATCCTTTGAGGACAGTGCCATTATCTCATTTTTATAGGTGAGAAAACTAAGGTTCGAAGAGTCTAAATCAGTGACTTGAAATCCTGGCTGCAAATGAGAATGACCTGGTGAACTTTAGACATAAATGAATGCCTGACTCCAATCAGAGATTGACTTAATTACAGCTGACCCTTGGAAAAAAGCAGGGGTTAGAGGTACGGAACGCCAGCACGGAAAATCTACATATAACTTAACTCGGCCCTCCACATACACGGATTCCAAACACCCACTTGACCTTTGAACAACCAGGGTTTGAATTGCGCAAGTCAACTGAACTGCAGTCAATTGAATTGAGTGGGTTAATTGAACTGTGAGTGTCAATTTTTAAAAATCCATATATAAGTGGACCCGCACAGTTCAAACCCATGCTGTTCAAGGTTCAACTGTATTCTGAAATGAGATTTGGGCATCTAGTTTTAAAAGCTCCCAAGGGGTTCTAATACACAGCCTAAATTGAGAACACCAGTTTATGCAATGTGACCAAGGCCACACAGTTCACCAGGATTCAAACTTAGGTCTACCTGACTTCCCAATACATAGTATTAACTGAACCTTGGAAACAAGTTTTAAGAGTTTGTTAGCTATTAAAACTACTCAAAAAGATAAACAAATATGAACAAGTTCAAAATACAAGCTATAAATGACCTGTCATGGCTTGGTTAATAAAATCATAAAATAAAAAAATTAAACTAAAAATAATAAATGACACACTTGTAAAGTGTATACACTTCACAAGTTCAGTCCTAGATAGAAACATAAAGAAACCCATTACCTGTCAGAACCTGGGTGAAATTCTGAAAGCAAGGAAGGTCGTCTGCGAAGCTGTTGTTGCTGCTGTTGCTGCAAGAGCTGTGATGCCTGACTGACTTCAAGATGAGAAGAACGATAATCAGGAACTGCAAATTCCTAGTGTTAAAATAATCATAAATTAATTATTAACTAAAAAGTGGAAAGCATCATAAAATCAAACCAATTATAAATGCACATAAGTAGTTATGGGCCACTAAGTATGGAAACAGCAATAGCGATTTTAATCCTCTAATGATCTAACTCTTCCCTATAAACCTAAAATAATCAACATTTTAACTATATACCATTAAAAGAATTCAAGTGAAATTTTGTGTTCAATTTTAATTCATTCTCCCAATAACACATTATAATAATTTCTATATTATTCACAGAGTGAGATCTCCAACTCACGTATTCAATATGAAATCCTAAAAAGCATTCCAATTGTAAATTCAAAATCAGTAAGCTGTAAGGGTCACATAAGCCATCTAGTTAAATTCATGTATATTTACAAAAAAAGAAACAGAAGTCCAGAGAATCAACCTGCCAGTTAAGAGTAATAGTTTTTCCATCATTCTAGGTGGGTGTTTTATGTTTGTTTTCCTACGTTTGTGACTTTTTGTTGAAAATTCAAAAGCTTCTTTTCAAAAGAAATCTATTAATACTAACAATCATAAACAGTTAAACACAGAATTACCAAATAATCTAGAAATTCCACTCTTAGGTATATACATACACAAGGTATTTTAAAGCATTATGTCTACACACAAAAAGATTTTGCACACAAATTTTCAAAGCAGCATTATTCACAATAGCCAAAAAAGAGAAAGAACCAAATGTCCATCGACTCATCAATGAACAAACAAAATGTGGTATACAACTATACCCCACTTTTTGAAAGCGAGTTACGCCACTTTACTTTTACGAAAGACCTATTTTTGCTAACCAAAATAAAATCCAAACAGGATTTTCACTTTTATGAAAAAAGGCAAAAAGTGGAAACAGCATTTGGTGTTTGAAGTGAGCCATTGTAGAACCAGCACACCAGGAGCAGCAAGAGTGGCCCCACCAAACTCCTCCTCAGGAACTGCCCTCAGCATCTCAACATCAAACTGCTATAGCTTTAAACTGTGTGTGTGGGCATCTGTGCTTTATCTGAATTGATTTTGTGCATCTGCTAGCAAGATGTGTCCCAAGGTATCAGAAAAACCTGAGAGAGCTCTTAAAGTGTTAGGGCGTCTCAATGGTAGTGAAGGAAATAAAGACACTGTGTGCTGAGCTTGGCTGTGCCCACCATCGTACAAGTAAGTTACACACAGAGAGAGAATCTTGAAAGCTGCTGAAGTTACTACTGGTTCTGCTAGCAACAAAGTGGTTTCTTTTAGTCAGCCTCCAGGAATGGATAAAATGGAAAGTCTACTGATTCTGTGGATTGATGGGTGTACAAAGTGTGGTGTTCCATTTAGTTATCTTATACTTAAGAAGAAATCAGTCTTTTTAATAAGTAAAACTACACTGTACATGCATTATTTCTACTTTATACAGGCTGTGTATTTATTATATTATTCCTGCTTGTACTATATGTTAGTGCTATTTTAGGTTTTATGCATTATTTGGTATGATTTGGTAGATTATTTTTTGGGTTTGGGGATACTCAAAAATGTTTCCATATAAATTAATGGTAACTGCGTCTTCACATTTCAGCTTACGAAAGTTTCATAGGAATGATCTACTACTGGATAATGGGGGAATCTGTATCTATACAATGGAAAATTATTCAGCCATAAAAAGGAAGAACAGTAACACATGCTACAACATAGATGAATCTAGAAAACATAATGGTAAGTTAAAAAACAAAAGCCATAAAAGGACACATACTGTATGATTCCAGTCATATGAAATGTCTATAAGAGGCGAATCAATAGACAGAGAAATAGATTAGTGGTTGCAGGGGCTGGAGGGAAAAGAGAAATTGGGATTAACTACTATTAGGTATGGGGTTTCATTTTGGGTGATGGAAAAGTTCTGGAATTAGGTAGTAATGGTTGTTCAACATAGTGAATATACTAAAATCTACTAAATTATATACTTTAAAACAATGAATTTTATGTTAAATAAATTGTAAGTCAACAAAAACGTTTTAAAAATCATAGAGATAAAATTGAGCTGTCCAGGCTGAAATATGGGGTGGATAAGATGTCCACAGCCCTTCACTACAGGCAGAAAACAGTAAAATAGTCTAAGAAAAAAACGAAACAAAACAAAAAAACAGATATAAAGTTGAAAACATAACCAAGAAAAATAAGACCAAGAAGAAAAAATAAAAACATTTTATAAAGAGGGGCACCAAAACTCATAAAATAAAGAATTTACTTGCAAAGAAATAGATAAAGGATGTACCCAGCAAGACAAGTTAAGAGTAAGGAGTGAAATAAAACAAACAGTGCACTTCAGCTTCCAGCTATGAGCAGGTAACACTGTCCAGAATTGCGTTCCCATAATAAACAGTTAAAAAATTGGACAAGGGCCGGCCGAGTGGCGCGATGGTTAAGAACTGGCTTGGGACGCCAGAGGGCCCCGGTTCGGATCCCACATATGAGGGCCAGTGAC